TTTAGAGTCAGTGAGCAGAGGAATATCCTGCACAAAATAAGAAAATGGAAAGCTAATTGGATTGGTCATATCTTATGCAGTAACTGCCTTTTAAAAGAAATTATTGAAGGAAAGACAGAGGGGCAGATAGAAGTGACCAGAAGACAAGGAAGAAGACGTAAGAAGATGCTGGATTAACCTTGGGGACAGAAGAGGATATTCTCATTTGAAGGAGAAAGCTCTAGATCGCATTAAGTGGAGGGACTGTTTTGGAAGAGACTTTGGACCTGTCATCTTGACAGATTACTGATGAGAATACAGGTCATAACTACATATAACTATGACTCTATTGCTGATTTCCACACTTTACAAACCACAACACGCTAAGTCTTCTCCAGTCTGCAGTGTCTTCACCACACATTTCCTGCTCACAGACTTTAACAGTGGAGATTCCTCAGCGTCATGCACTCAAGTCCTCTCTTCACAGACTCAGTACAGAACTGACTGCTCTAACCTGGTCCCTTGCTTATAATATCTTGACATAGATCACATGGAAAACAGAGCTCTTCTACTATTGTGTTCATGTCTGTTGCTGCAGGAAAGTGTTCACCCAACTGTTGCCCAGAAACGACCCTCGTATATCATCTCGTGCTCACTGCATAGCAATGGCTATACATGCTGCATTATGAAGAAAACAGTCTTCTGGGATGTGGCACCGTGTAGATGTGGTGTTAACCGACGTTTCGGAGGAACGTATCGCCTCCATCTTCAGGGTAGAAGGGAAAAAAAATAAGAAATCTGCAAGCGATGAGACCGTGAGAACATTCCTCCAAAATGTTGGTTAACACCACATATACACGGTGCCACATACCACAAGACTGCTTTCTTCATAGTCACCACCGTGAACACCTCAGATCTTACATGTTGCATTATGTTTGGCACATGAATATCAAAGTACAATGATAACACAATGCACTAAACTTCTAGTGATGACATAACAGTCTATGTCCCTAACTGACGACGATGAACCCTTGTTCCCACAGTGGGTAGTGAAGAGTCAATGTCACCATAATGAGAACCTGAAAGCTCACACACTCTCTCACTTCTGCTCCAGGCTCTGGTGCTTAGGCACATGGGGAAGTTACTTGACTTTAACTTACTACTCAGTATATCTGTCCATAGACGTCTGGAAGTCACGTCGATGTACGGCCCTTAGCATAATGTGTATTGGATCATAGAGCTCCTCCCACACCACTGGTTTCGGGGCATACATTCCTTGCAGCATCTGGCCACTGACTTCCAGGACTGGGGCCTTGAAGTCTGCAACCTGTAACACATTCACAGTGCACCAACATATTCTCACGTAAGCATGACTGAGACCTATTCTTCTTCCATCATCAGGGTTGACACCAAGAGTGACAGGACGTCACACAACCCAGTATGCCAATACAGAAGCAGCAGTGAACTAAGTGATATACAGAGTGGCACAGAAGTCGTAACCCATAGGAACATTAATTCATAACAAAGAAACAAATAATCGATATACTTAAAAAAGTCATACTAAATATTTTAATAAAATTCTGTAATTCACTGGTAGCTTTCTTGGATGATCGAGTTCTTGAGGAACAGCATATGTTAATATAAATAAATATAAATACCAGCCACATTTCTGTTGTATCAGTTTCTGCCACTGGGATTTATGTGCAGGCAGACACACTGTTTAGTAGCATCAGTAACCCAGCTCCAACATTATAACACCACTCAGAATCCTACGCAATGCTGGTATGTGCAAATCTCTGTGACGTGCTACTTCGAGTCACTTCATATGTAAGCTATAAGCTGTTCTAGTGAAATCCACCTGGATGTTCAGACCTCTCAAAAAGGTGCAAATGGACTGTAGATTCATTCTTTGTGGAGAGGATCCATCGGATTGAGTGTCAATGGAATTCCAGCCTCAACATCCATGGGAACCAATTCTAATACTCTATAATCCTTTGCTCCAAAGGTTTCATTTGAACAAACCCCATACATGTGTCTGCATATCAGTTAAGACAATGGCAGACAAGGTAAGATATCAGTTAAGACAATGGCAGACAAGGTAAGGTATCTGAAAAGTTGGATTTTAGCTCAACCATGGCATAGCTGAAAGCCCAAGAAAATTCTAGCACACTTATTCACTGCAAAATCTTCAGACCTTACTTTCAATGTGTTATATCACAAGCCACACATTTCCATCCTGACTGACATAAGTTGCAATACAACGAAACTCGACTTGCTGCATTACAAACCTTAGACAATACAAGTTCAAAATCTCTGCTCTGCCCTGCCCCACAACGCTCTGGCATGAGCTCCATCAGCTGACTGTGGGTCCTGTCTGCCATACACAGCAACGTTACTATCTCAAGCTGGGAGAGTGACGCATCAGTCACACCTGTGCAACACCAAAAGACAGAATCACATAAGCTGAATTTTACATGCTCACGGCAGTAACTGTGAGCAGCAGTATTCTGTACTGTCATACCCTGTGGTCTGCAGGAGGCCGATGTTTTGGAGAACACAAACTGCTCCCATCTTTGGGACCGAAGAATAAGTTGAGCAAGAGGCCAGCAGCCTGCCACCTGGTTCTGCTCGTTTCTTGTTTCGCTTATTATTTTACCGTGAAGACTTGACTCGACTCTTGACTTCACTTCATGCTACCGAACATTTCGTTATAACCACTTTGCACGAGCAACGCAGAAAACACAGCCTCTATTGTTAAGGAGGTGTTTTTACTGATCCGTTGCCTAGCAATCGACATCCTATTGTGCGCATTGGCTTCCATGGGAATGTGTATACCAAGTCATTGCCTAGCATTGAGTCTATACACCACAGTATTATATTCCTGCTGTCACCGTACAGCCTGATAAAAGACCTAATGTAATGTGCAGATCTGCACTTTCTGCTGACTGACATATATGCAGGTGTGTGTGTGTGTGTGAGATGTAAATTTATGTCTTATTCTAGGGGGTAAAAGACTCACAAAGTTTGAGGACACCTGCTATATTCTGTAACACGGCTGTTACATTCACTCCCTCATTTCCTCTTACTTTACCACCTCCATACAATTATCACCTTCTCTCATTTACTTTATTCTCCTTTCTTCCCTTTTATCTCACCACCCTATCACCAGCCCTCTTCCTCTTCTGAGCCTCAGTTAAAGACCTTCATAATTACAGAATATATGAGTTGTGACCCCAGGTAGTATGGAGGAAGTCACCAAGGTTTTGGCATAAGAGAGCGCTTAAATCCTCGCAGTAGAAAAGAGAGACAGCAGATTCCTCTAAAATGTCGATACCTACAAACCAAACTACACGGTGTCATAACCCAGAAGGAAGTAATATTCATATTCACAGCCATGAAAACTTCAAAGCTCAACCAGATACGAGCATTCATCATACATTAATCAAATATCCTGTAAAAACAGAAAGCAGGACAAATTTGCTTGAAACAGATTACAAATGACAGCTAACAACTTACTTTGCTCCAATTTCTGCAGTGCTTCAGAAGTTCTGAATCACACAAGCTAGATTATCAGCCTCACTCTTTCAGTATCATACCCAAATTAGTCCGTGTGTTCATGAGGGTTGCCAGGAACGTGAGACAGCTATCCACCATTGGGGTGTCATGTTCCCCATCCAGAAATGTGTCACATTTCATCACATAGTGAGCCAGATTCATCCACTCTGTTATGTGGAACCTGCATGCAGTATGAACGGCAATGAATCATCACAGCCGAGACAGGTGCACTGTTTACTGTAAAGGGCTCAGGCAAAAGTGCCTACTTTAGCATCATGGCAAGATGTATGGGGAATGGAGGTACAGATCCATGCATTGTAACCCTGGCATACATGCAAGTGAAGGTTAGTCTTACACTCCAGTCAGAAACAGTATGGATGCCATGACTAAGAGAGGGATGTCAAGCCCTGACTCCTTGTTCATCCTGTGCGTAGCCTAGTCCCTATACTGACTGAGCTAGCCTGACCCCTAAACTGATGGTCATGCAAAATTACTTGGAGTGGAGAAAGAGATTGTAGTAGCACATGTTACCACAAAAGCAAGAGTTTTGGTTCACAAATAATTCTGGTTTGCTGGAAGTACCAGGAAATGTAGGAAACAGCCCCATATTTGAATACTTTATAGCTGCACTCTTTTATCTTTATTCTTTCGCCTGCAGTTTTTATAGTATTCTTCAAGGTCAAGTTCTCTTTGGAAATCATTATATTTGACACAAAAACAAAAACTGAATCAGTGACACAGGGCCATATCAAGATATCCGTAGGCACTATACTGTATGGCTTGCAGTGTTAAACAGCTACAAGCGCAAAACAACAGGACAGACAGATATATGGCTTTGCAGAAAAACTGTCTTAGTTTGTTCAAAGAGCCTTAAAATGTCTACACTCATTAACAATCTGAGTTTGAGAATCTGACTTGATTATAACAGTTTTTTCTTATCTGTGGCATTGCTGTAAAATCTGTTGAAAAGCGGCAATTTTTTATTTGAAGAAAGCAGTCTTCTGGGATGTGCCGTCATGCAGATATTGTGTTAACCGACAGCAGTTCCTCAGAAATGTCGGTTAACACAATATCTGCATGGTGGCACATCCCACAAGACTGCTTTCTTCATAATCACAGCCGTGAAAGCCAAAATTTTTTACTTGTTTGTTCTGTAGGCCCATTTTCCTTCATAGCCCTAGGCACAGTGTCCCTAGTGCCTAAGTCGCAATTGGGCCTCACAGCAAAGTCTCAAGAATTGCAGCAGTGTAACTTACAAGTCCATTAAGATCACAGCTTCCTGGGATTTGCTGTCGCATAGTCTGGCTGACTGATTCCAGTGTTTCAAAGAAGGCTGCTCACTCCATCCTCTTTTACTGTATAAAAGATGGAAAGTTCCTCCGCAACACAGGGTACCTACCTACCAGACTAAATGGCATCACATCGCTGAAAACCATAATTTTAACACTGAATACCATGAGCACCTCATATCACTTACTTATCCACAACTGTGGTGAGGAACATCTCGGACGGGAGCTGCGTAGCACAAATCTGCAAGAGGTACAAGTCAGCATCTACCATCGAGTTGCAGAAATTGCACTGGATATACGTCATGGCCTGCCCCTTGATCTGTAGGCCATTGCGCACCCACATGCCACTCAAAATTTCATAGAATGCAACCTGCAACACAAGGTATGGCAATTACTGATGGTAATTATACTCTTCAGTTGTTATGCTGTGTGGTTGTATGCAAAGTTGGCAATATTACAAAGGCACATCCTGCCTCCAACTTCAGGATCGAAGGTACAACAATATAGTAAACCTTTGTTGTAATGGAGCCAGATATAACAGACAAAATTTGGCTGTGTACACTCATGAGTTTTTTAGAGATGCTGAAGTGCTAAGGTTTTGTAGTTAGTGAACTAATTAAAATAAAAAACAACTCCAATATAAAAACCTTCATGTTTCTGTGTTTACTGCATGAACTGATTATGCATCACATGGCGTACTTCTGTGAACACCCCTTCACATGGTTACAGCAGACACCCTGCCCCTCTTACTGTTCTGTTATAATGAGGGTTTATTGCATAACCATGTATGTACACACCTTCAATGGATAGAAAACGGCTTACAGATCCAGCATTAACAATCAACTTGACACACAACCTGTACTGGGCCTACAGCATGAAGTCCCAGAGACTGACCCCCACCACATGGGCATTGAGCTGTTATGCTCCTCCCTCCGGTGCACGTCTCTATCTTCTGCACCAGTTATGTAGCCAAGTTCTTCACACAAATGCTGGCAGTGATACTCACATGAAAACCTTCACCAGTAACTGGTACTTTGGAGTAGATGACAAAGGTGGAAGCAAAGCCAAGAGTAACATGAAAAGGGAAGCCTCGAGTGTAACTGCCCCACCATCCAGGGGACTTATTTCTGTGGCCTCAGTATAGCGACAATGCACTGAAATGTTTAATATAGTAAAGTGCACATCCTATGTAACTGTAAGGCCATAGCCACTTGAAGATGTCATCACCTTCGGAATTTTTCACTTCATGAAACCACGTGAGCAGGTGAGCTAACCAAGGATACACAAAGGATCAAAGGGCAGTCTCAGTATAAGGGTTGGTATGGCACATAAAATGTATTGCACTAGGTAAACTGTACCAACTTTGTCATTTGAACAACAAATACCACTATGGCCCTGGGGTCGACTCAGCTGCTAAAAGAAATGAGTACCAGGAATATTCTTTGAATGTTCTTGAGGGTAAAGGGCAGCCGGCGCATAAGGCTGACAACCTTACCACCATCCATGAGCTGACTGTCTAGAAAATGTGGGAACCTCAACATCTGACAACCCTATGAGCCTCCATGGCCTGTTACAGGGATGCCTTTACTTTTTACTTTACTTTACATGGAGGATAGTTGCAGATACTCCAGCGTTAGCTCCAGAAATGGGAAGACACGTATGGGCCAAAATCAGTTACTGATTAAATAACTGCAGTTCTATTACAGAAACACATGTGCAAATTTGCAGCAAAATTTCATTCCCATACTTTGTTACCTTCCCTATACACATAATAGTTCAGAAAACATGACCCTCTACAATTCCCCCCCAGTGACTTTCTAACACCCTGTATATTAAAGTAATGTTCAATGGCAAATTTAAATTACTTGCACTTGTCACTAGAGTACGCAGAAGAGGAGCATGGCAACTGCACTACAAACGACCTAAATCATCTTTGTTCCTTACATTTCCTTGCATCATCCTACAGCGAGGAATTAAATGGACTTTCCTTGGTGTCCCTGTCCAGTGGGTAGCAATCCTGCTTCATATTCTGGACTTCCGCTTCAAATCTCCGCATGGAGACCAGGCACACAAGGTTTCCCAATGTCTCAGTTTCTCTGGGCATATGCACTGACTGACTGCACATCAAATTGGACCAGACTTCACAGCTCACTGTTCATTAATCATGCTACTACCTGACGCTGAGTCTGTATAGCAACGGGATAAGTAATGCACGGCCCGGGTTCGATTCCCAGCAGGGCAATAATTCTGTTCTCATCAGCATCCAAACTGACCTTGGAGCCCATCCTGCCTCCTATCCAGTGGGTACTAGAACCTCTTTCTCAGGACAGTAAAGCGGCAGGGGCGCGAAGCCGACCACTCACCTTCAACTAGTGCCGAGGTGAAGAAAGGTGGAGCTATAACTTCGTTCCCTCATACATCTTCATGGCACAAATAAAAGGCAAATTTGTCCCTGTGCTTAACTAATTAAGCACTAAGCAATGAAGGCGTATGGGGAAGTGGATGTTTAGATCCACATTTTCTTGACCTCGGCATTAGTTGGAGGTGAGTGGTGAGCTTCACGCCTCGGCCGCTTTACTCCCGCTGTACCCATTTGAAAGGAGGATGGGTGGGCCCCAGAGAAGAGAAAATTCTTGAGCTTACCAAGACTCGAACTCCGACCCCTCGGTCGTCCATCCCGTAGCCAATCGATATACCGACTGCGCTGTCCCGGCTCCTCTCCGTGGCATAATGCTTAACTAATTAAGCACGCGGACAAATTCACCTTTACCATTTGACGTCATAATGAAAAGCAAATCAGATTCTCCTGCCCACAGCGTCCCGGCCGACCCTGGGGTCCAACCAGCATCCCATTCGATGGCTACATGCAGCGCTTTCCTCGAGGATAAAGTGGCAACAGTCTCAAGATGATCAATGACCTCCAGCTAGTGCCAAAGATTAAGCATGTGCGGAGCTATACCTCCACTCCCCATACGTCTTCATGGCGTGGTGATTACTTTCTCACAGGCACTATTTCATCTTGCCTATGAAAGGTAAAGAGTAACTAAAGTTGTCCCTGTGCTTAACTAGTTAAGCACTACGCCATAAAGACGTATGGGGGAGTGGATGTATAGATCTACATTTTCTTGACCTCGGCACTAGTTTTAGGTGAGTGGTGAGCTTCACGCCCCGGCCGCTTTACCCCCAGGAAAGAGCCCCCCGTACCCATTCTATGAGAGGTTGGGTGGACCCCAGAACCGGTATTGACGATTGGAAAAGAGAAAATTCTTGATCCTACTGGAACTCCGACCCCTCGGTCGTCCTGCCCATAGCCAGTCGCTATACCGACTGAGCTATTCCGGCTCCACCTTCCCTTATATTCAGTTCAGTTATTCAGTATAGAGGAGGTGGGTTTCCCCATGCACCGCGACTAATAGTCTATTGTACGTCTCCCTTTAATTTCTACTGTCGCCATACCTTACCGATACTGGTGCCCGCTATCTCCCCTTTCTGCCAGCGAGGTCGGCCCTCTACTGGCATTGGTACCCGATAACTTCCCCATCTACAGGAGGCATTGGAAACTACTTGGGCGGGAAACATTTTTGCCTAATTTTGCTCAGAGGTCTCCTAGAGACATGAGGATCTTTTACGTGCCGTAAATCTACGACACGGGACCCACGGCTTAAAGTCCCTCCCGGAGGACTTGTTCCCTCCGCCGGGTTTGAACCCGCGTACCTTGAGTCATGAGGTGGGAACGTTACCCCTAGACTACGGAGGCCGCTTTCCTTCCCTTATAAATACACGAATAAATATTTCTAGGAACGGAATAATTTATTTCCAAGTATCAAGATGAAATTTCACACGCTCCAGTAACGCAACTTTCACTTTCGGCACGGATTAGTACAGCTCAACCTGTCACTGTCTAAAAAATTTCTGAAGGTACGTCATCATTGGTCCGTGATGTCAATCATTACGTCATTGTTGGAAAGTCCCTCCACTTCGTTTTCAACAAACAGTGGGAACCAAAAATCATCATTAAGCAAATCTGGTTGAATCTACGGGGCTTTTCTTCTGTAAGGATGCATGCTGAATGTATGACGAACCCTTAAAGATATATTATACAACAACCCCTATGGGCAAGCACCAAGCCCTGAAATCGTATAGGGATCGTGGAGGTAAAACAGTACTCATAATTAACCCCGAGTTAGTGGTCATCTTGACGGTTCGACAACGAGATCCTTCCCGCACGCACTGGCTATTAGTAAAGCTGTCTCTCGATCGTCATGTTACGTGGAAGCAAACAAAACAAGAAACAAACTCCGTGCTTTTAGTCCGCAAGCGAACTATACCGACCGAGCGACCGCCGCTTGTCGGCGAAGTTAGTGCCAACTTTAGCTCATAGGGGGTGTTGCGTGGTTAACGAAACGAATCTCCACGGCCGTTAATTTAGGTTTTATACACCGGAGCCGCTATTTCCTTGCAACAGCTCCTCAATTATCCTCGCGGGGCTGAGTGGACCCCGTTCCAGGTCAACTACTTCTCAGAAAATCTGCTAGCGCCGGGAATCGAATCCGGACCTCTGAATCTGTAGCCAGGAGCTCTGACTACCAGACCACAGAGGCGGTCTGTCACGTGGAGGCGCTTTATTAAATTCCTCCTCCAAACAATGAATGATAGACACTGCGTGGGAAATGAAGGAAACAATTAAGCAACGCCTGTTTGCTGTACTATATACAAATGAAGTGAAAATTCTTAACAGAGTGAGACCAGAGCTCAAGGACGTCAGTAGTTGCAGCTAAAGAATGAGCTCAGTTGTACAAGATCGTCCGTGTGTGAGAGCGCAAGTCTTCTTGTTTAATAATAACCCGTCAGCAACGCTTGTCTCGAGCTTGCTTGTGCCACATCACCGGTAATCACGTGGTAGCAACGATAAACATCGACGTCTGAACTGTTCTTGTGTGTGACGAAATACGAAAACATTCGCTGCAAGTGTGTGTTATAGTACTCCTGCATTTTTTGCACACCATTCGTACTGACAACGGAAATTCAATTCCAAATCAGTTATACCGTCTTCCAGTGAATTCGATTTGGGTGCGCGTAGGGTGGGGTCCGTAATTTCTCGACACGGTACCAATCCGCCACAAACGAACTGACCTAGGCCTCTAGGGAGTTGTTTCCGGTGTTGGCATGACTGGCCTCATACGTGTGAGAGGCGCATTTGTTAGTAACATGAATTCGTGTGGTGGTGCCAGCTGCTTTCTGCGATGGTGTGTCATCGCTGCTGTGATCCTTGGGCATACTACTGCGGAAGGTTTCGAGGAGGCTATGCTAACAGCCGTTCTCAAGGAGGTGCCGGAGATTGTTAATCAAATCCTGTACATGTGGGATCAGCTGGGTAAGATTGCCACTGGAGCCCTCTGGTTTCATTTTACCTATTCACCGAACAGCTCGGTGTAAACGCAGCACTTTACTATACTAGCTTTTATTTTTTGAATTGTTCGGTTCGAATCTCGGCCATGCCACTAACGTGTTCGTGGTTTTCCTGGCACCACAGTACGTTTGCGCCATTCTCGCTTCTGTCATCCGGGGCCACACGAGTATACTCACAGCAGCTTTGTGCTACTGCACATACTGTCATGTCGATACTGAAAGTGCCCTTCGTATTCCTGGTTAGTTCAACGGCACTGTCAGTATTGCTCACAGAACGGAACGGAACGGAACGGAACGGGGCGACACCTCTGCCTCCTCCGCGGCGTTCAGACCGGCTGTGAGGCCCACCCAGCCTCTTTCCCAGGGCGTGAAGCTGACCACTCACCTCGAACTAGTGCAGAGGGCAAGAATTAGTTTTGCACAGGGGCAACTTTACGAACCAGGCTACGTCACACCGTGGAACAAGAGACTGTGTGAACTACCCACCGGCGTATGAATACAAGCAGAATGTTGAAAATCGAATCCAGTGACGTTCTAATGTTGACGTAAAGGTCGACGTCACTGTCTGCTGACGTCACCAAAGTAGTATGAGTTTACAATTACAGTACACTGTTTTACCTAAAGCATCCGAGGCTGTCATACCTTGAGTACCCAACTTCAAGGTAAAGGTAAAGTTGTCCATTAAGCCCTGTCATTAGGACATATGAGGGTGTGGAGGTATAGCTCCACCACTATCGACCTCGGCACTAGATGGAGCTCAGTGGTCATCTTCACGCCCCGGCCACTTTAACCTCGGGGGGGGGGGAAATAGCCCGCGGTACCCACTGAATAGGAGGCTGGCCGGGTCCCAGAACCGGTCTGACACTGCGAAGAGAAAAATCTTGCCACTGCTGGCAATCGAACCCCGGCTATTCAGCTCGCAGCCCATCCCTATACCGACTAAGCTACCTTACAAAAGAAAGATCGTACGTCTTCAACGAGATTTGGTTCCCATCTAACTAACTTCATGGAGTTGCCGGTTGTTCGGCTACTCAACAACTTCCCAGCATTTTATGGAACCCGAAGCTTCATTATCGTGTTCACAAGAGCCCTCCACTAGTTCCTATCCTGAGCCAGATCAATCCAGACCATACGACCACATCCTAGCTAAGGTCCATTTTAATATTATCCACCCACATATGTCTTGGTCTTTCTAGTGGTCTCTTTCCTTCTGGCTTTCCCACCAATATCCTATATACGTTCCTCTTCGTCCCCATTCGTACTACATGCCCTGGCCATCACATCCTCCTTGACTTGATCATTCTAATTATACTTGGAGAAGAGTACAAGTTATGAAACTTCTCATTATGCAGTTTTCTCCAGCCTCCCGTCACATCATGTCTCTTCGGTCCAAATATTCTCCTCAGCACCCTGTTCTCAAACACCCTCAGTCTATGTGTCTCCCTTAATGTCAGAGACCAAGTTTCACACCCGTACAGAACCACGGACAAAATTGTAGTTGTGTATATTCTAATTGTTTATGTTTTTAGACAGTGGTTCCAATCCTATGTTGGAAATACAATCTAGTAACTCTCTTGTGATGACGCATACAGCTGCACCTGCGCACTGGACAATGGCCACTGTTTCAGCACTCGACCAGGTGGACGGTGACGTGCTCTCCTTGCTGCGGGGCAAGGAGCGTGACGTGTTGGAACGGATCGGGCAGGTTTCGTTCCAGCTGGAGCGCCTGGAGAAGCAGCATGCCATAAGCTCTGCCATGATCGAAAGCCTCCTGCAGGACCTGAGAGCATTGCCCAGCGTGGTCCGGCTGGGACGGAACTTGGACACACTCGCGGACTTGATGGGTCGGGTCAGTTCCGCGGATATGGTGCTCAACAGGTGAGTCAACAGATAACTATTGTAACATTCGGTTCGGTTTGAACGGGGAAGCCCCACAATCCCTACTATTAGCTTCACTTTCTATTTAACGCGAATAACACGCACAATCATAAATCATCCCCTTTGTACAGTACACTTCATATATTCGCATCGATATAGCACCACGCTCACGGAATAGACACGATATTGTGAAACAAGCCTTCTCGCTCGTTCGTGACCTACTGCACAAGTTATGTTCACGTAGCGTGTTAACGCTCTATAATTCGTTGCCATGGTAACCCGAAACTACGTATTTTCAGAGCATTCACCTCACGGTTTATTAAGTGGGTAAAGTTGTCCTTGCGCTTAACTAATTAAGCACCACGCCATCAAGGGTTATGGGGGAGTGAATGTATAGATCCACACTTTCTTAACCTCGGCACTAGCTGAGAGTGGTTGGCTTCACGCCCCGGCCGCTTTACACCCGGGTAAAGAGCCCCGGTACTCATTGGATATGAGGTTGGGTGGACCCCAGAGCCGGTCTGGACAACGCGGAAAAGAGAATATTCTTGTCCCTACCGGGACTCGAACTCCGACCCCTATGCTATCCCAGCCCCTACAGACATGATACGTTTGTTGAACTCTGTATCTTACTTTCCAGTGTCTGACGTTCAAACTTGTATTAAAATCTTAAAATTCACGTGCAGCTGTTATGAGTGGTACTCGAGTTGGCTAGATGCTCAACGTATAGTATTTAGGCGCCATCTTGGAATGAAGATGGATGGACTACAGACATGTTGGGCGTGTGGCAGGTACATCCAGCGAGGGTACAGTAACGAGACGGAGGACGCAAACTGGCTGGTGGAACGCCCGACGTTGGAAGATTTCGTAAGCACGGTGGTGTCACACGGGTCCTCCTCGATCCGCGGCCTCCTGGAGAGGATCCACTCTATCGTGGCGCCAGAGCATGGAATGGGATCACAGCTACAGAGTCCGGGCATCTTCTCGCAGCTGACAGATGCCATGCACGTAAGTGCCCAATTAATGTTAATTTCCCGGTACCGTCACACATCTTAGAGCCGGCATGCCATGCGAGTATTCTGTGTCCATAACATCTCTGTGGGCGCGTCATCACCAGAGAGTGCCGCAAATCGTTACGTCATCGTTAGAAATTTACAAGGTCCTATTTTCAACATACTGTAGCGTTTACAGCCGTTGCTATGCAATAGGCGAAGAGAAAACGAAGTTATGCAAACTGTTTCTAGGCAACGGAAATACACAACAATGCAGTTACTGCTGGAAACGATGTTTTCTACTAGGTCCGTGCAAAGAGGTTATAAGGAAGACTAGTTGGTGAGAGCAAACCCAGTGCTTGGGGGTATAACTGGGCCGCCTTGTTCCTGGGGGTTATAAATACGGGAAGCTGGCCCACCATGTTGGGGGAGTCTCGAATCTGAGACAGTAAAACATGGTAATGAGTCCCGCAAGACTCGGACCTGAGAATGACTGCGCTGGCGAGGGTCAGCAGCAATTGTAAACGACAGACTCATCCTCTCGTCAAAGAGGATGTTACACAAGGACTATAACCTCAAGTGTTCAGTTGGAAAAAAAAATTACTGGTCGTGAGTCTCAAGGGGCTTGTCGCCAAGACGAACTGACTGGAAGTAAACCGCCAGTCGTAAAGTAACTCTGACCCTGATCCAGTTAGTTGAGAGTTCTCAGCAGTTCTCAGATGAGTTCTGCATGGGAGGCTTTGAAGATAGAACCTGAGAGCGTGAAACTGACAGGACTTCATCCCCCCACAAGATTGCCTAATGGAGGTATAACGTACCCTCAGACATGTTTTACACAAAGTGTCTGCAGCAGTGATGAAATAATGGCGGAGAAAACTAAGTGCTCTGGTAGAATCCACTCTCAATGCCATTCTGTACACCACACTGTATATATATAGGAATAACTAATACAAGTATAATAAACATTCGTTAATCCGGTTACAGTAAAAAGAGCCAAAGCTAGCCCTGCAACAGTCCGTAAAGGCCCCATTGGGTTGTGAGACGTCGAGGCTCCCACATTTTCTTTAGACAATCGGCTCACAGATGGCGGCAAGGTTGTCAGCCTTACGCGCCGGCCCCCCTTTACCTCCGCACCCCCCACCTTAAGAAAAATTCCTGGTACTCATTTCTGTTAGAGACTGAGTCGACCCCAGGGCCATAGTGCGGCTGGAAGGATTAGGTAAATTGAAAAATCCAATTACTTCATTGGGAATCGAACTTGTAGCATAGTGCCTCTGCCAATTACGCTACCGCGTTCCACTTAATCGTCTACAGAAGTAATAAAACTCAGTACTGCATAGGCCAAAACACCACACACGTAACGGGATGCAAACAACGGGGGCCCGGCCGGGGCTTGGTCACAAAACATCAGTTTCTCCAAAAGGGATAAGGATTTTTAAGTAGGATTTCAGGTTCTTATACCGTTAGCTATGAAGAATTCTATCTTATGGGATATAACGCTGTCTAATCCTTTTAAGTCAACCGATGCTCCCTTCTTGCTTAGCCTATTTTTCGACCCTGACGACGGAGGCGAAACGTTCCTCCGAAATGTCTGTTGACTTTCAATGGCGTTATATCCCATAACATAGGAATCACCGCCTTCGATAAGATTTCGCCAATTTGTAGTACTGGCAGTCCAAAACAAAACTGTTACTTTCAACAAACCCAAATTATATTTTTTTTTAGAACAGCAGAAGGCTGTGATCCGTGAAGAATATGGCCATGTCCTTGCGTCCATTGTTTTTGTTTCATTCTTTCTGGTATCATACTTGTTTTGATTTCAACATTTCTCCGTAGCGATGTAATGTGTCTATGTAAACATGTGAGACGTTTCGAAATTAAAACGGAATGCAGCTTCTTATCGCTCGCAGCGATTTTGGGTAAAGTGACCTCATATAAAATGATCATGATTGAAAATTAACACAAACGAGTGCGCAAAAAATTCGTTCTTCAAAAAAGAATAGGACGGCATTCTCCATTATACAAAGCTGTATGGTTCGCAGAAGGAAATTTCTTTCCAAACACCCTGTCCCGAATCAATATCCGCAAGCCGTGATGTCTGCCAATAGGAGATCGCTTACAGTCTGCTTCACGCAGTTCCACTGCAGCTATCCGGAATGGATAAATTTAAACCTATTTTATCCCTTTCCAATATGCGAACGAGAAAGCTCGATTACAAGTAACCCCCCCTTTTTTTTTACTGTTAGTGGGGTGGGACTAAGTCCCTTGTACTGCGGCCACTTCTGGCCTATTGTACCAGCCCCAGATGATAGGTGAGGGTGATTGTGGAGCAATTGGTGGAATGAAGATTGGCAGGGGAAACCGAAGTACTCGGAGAAAACCTGCCCCAGCGCCACTTTGTCCACCACGAATCCCACTTGACCAGACCCGGGATCGAACCCGGGCCGCCGCGGTGGGAAGCCAGCGACTAACCGCTCGAGCTATGGCGCGGCCTACAAGTGACCCTTACGAACTGAAATTTCTGGTGTTCTCGACCTGCTCAGGAAACGTCTTCTGCTATCGGTCAAAAGTTTTCTGCTGCATCAACAGTAAAAGTTGTCCCTGTGCTTAACTAATTAAGCACTACGCCATGAAGACATGTGGGGGAAAGGGTGTATAGACCCACATTTGCTTGACCTCGGTACTAGTTGGAGGTGAGTGGTAAGCTTCCGGTCCTGGCCGCTTTACCTGCGGGGAAAGAGCCCCCGGTACCCATAGGATAGGAGGTTGGGTGGACCCCACAACTGGTCTGGACGACATGAAGTTAAAATTCTTGACCCCACCGGGACTCGAACTCCAACGTGCTGTCCAGCCCGTAGCCAGTCGCTATATCGACTACGCTAAGGTTTATTTAAACAGAAACCAGCGTGGAAAAGTATTACGGACCGAGACAAATATGGAGCTTAGAAAGATTAACACTGTGGTAACAAAACCTGAAGGTTCATCATAGCTAATAGAAAAGCCCACAGACACGATCTCGAGCCAGCTACATCCTCCGCACTTCCTAAACCTATTTCACTAAGCCGTGCAGTAAACCCTCGCTAATCCGGATCTAAAAACGGAAAATGCTGTTCACAGCTGACTACATAACTTCAAAACACACACCTCATTTATGAAGGCAGATGAGTCACTTGTCTGTTCAGACAAAACTTGACCATTATTAGGTTCAAAAACAAGTGCAACTTCTGAGTCCTCGATTGATGAACAACGTGGGTTTTAAGTAAAGTCTCTACACTGATATTTCATCAGCACTACTTACATCATCACATTTTCCATTTATCTGTACTCAATTTTTTTTTGTCTTTAAGGCTACTTTTTGCTTCGCTAATCGAAATAATCGCTTAATCCGGACGGCCTCTCCCCATTACTCCGGATTAGCGAGGGGTTACTGTTATCTTACAAATTACGCATTTCTCTGTTAGCATAACCTGAAGGTTTAACGCCGCTAATACCAAGTCCGCCATTGGTCACGATCCTGGGCCAGTTCCATCCACCTCCCATCCTCAAAACCTGTTTCCCTAATATTAATTTTACTATTGAAATAACTCTGGTAGCATAACTCAGAGATCTAACACCGCTAATACCACAGTCGACCACTGGATCCACCAACGAGGGCCAGTTCCATCCATCTCCAATCCTGTATTTTGGCAGGTGGTTGTACCAATGCACAGCCTCCATCCAGCCCTGAAGATACAGGCAAAATGTCCCTCCTTAGCAGTGGTAACCACCCACCAGATTACACGATATCATAACCAAACGTAGACACAATATTATGTCAAATAGGCCTCACTCACTCACGGAACTAAGCCCTTCTTGAGAAGTTGTCAATTGTGCAGCTACTCAAAAACTTCCCAGCATTTTATGAAACCCAAAGGTTCATTACCGTGTTCACAAGAGCCCTCCACTGGTCCTCATCCTCAGCCAGATCAATCCAATCCATACCGTCCCATCCTATGTCTCTAAGATCAATTTTAATATTGTCCACCCACCTACGTCTTCGTCTTTCCAGTGGTCTATTTTCTTCTGGCTTGACCACCAATGTCATATATATGTATTCCTCTTCTCCCCATTTGGGCTACATGCCCTTCCCACCTCATCCTCCTTGACTTGATGATTCTAATTATACTTGGAGAAGAGTACAACTTATGAAGCTCTTCATTATGTAGTTTTCTCCAACCTCCCGTCACTTCATCTCTCTTCGGTCCAAATATTATCCTCAGCACCCTGTTCTCAAACCCCCTCAGTTTTATGTAAAAAAAAAAGAAAAAAGCAAAGCTATCCCTGTAACAGGTCGTGAAGACCCATAGGGTCGTAAGACGTTGAGGGTCCCACAGTATCTAGACAATCGGCTCAAAGATGGCGGTAAGGTTGTCAGCCTTACGCATGTTCCTCCCTTAACGTCAGACACAAAGTTTCACACCCATACAGAACCACAGGCAAAATTATAATTTTGTATATTCCAATTTTTATGTTTTTGGACAGCAGACAAGAAGATAAAGGTTCTGGACTTAATGTTAGCAAGCATTACCCGAGTTCAATCTCCTCTTAATTTCCTCCTGAATCAGGTTTTGATTTGTTATCGTCGTTCCCAAATATCTGAACTGTGCCACATTTTCAAAGCATCTGTTACCTATCTTCATTTTGGTGACGAGACAGAAACATATACTTAGGTAGTGTAACACTCGGGACGACGGGCAAGGCCCAAAATACTAATTTTAAATAATCTCAGTTATTTATGATGGGGCCAGAGGACTATAGCAAAAGTGACAGCGTTTCAGTCAGTATCACCCGTCGTCAGTCGATATCTCAAGTCGACCTTTGTAGGAAAAAGGTTTACACAGATGTTTATATGGGTGTGAAACTTGGTCTGTGACAGTAAGGGAGGAACATAGACTGAGGGTGTTTAAAACAGTGTGTTGAGGAGAGATGAAGTTATGGGAGGTTGTAGTAAACTATATAATGACGAGCTTCATAACT